CATCAGAAGAAAAAGAAATTAGGAAACAATCTCGGAATCTGCTACAGAGGGCCTCTGAAAGCCAGAAGAAAACAGGAAACAACCTTGAAACCTGCCACAGAGGGCCTCTGAAAGCCTCTGCAGTATACACTGTCAAAGCAGATGCTGAACCTGATGGCCAACTGATGGGCAGAGTGAATGGAATTTTATGTAAGAAGTGGGAAATAGTAAGAGCTGGAGGGGATGGGAACTCCACAAGCAGAGCAACAGAACAAGATAATTTGAACACAGGGAACTTCCCAGAGACTCATACTCCAACCAAGAACTATTCGTGGAGATAACCTAGAACTCCTGCACAGATGTAGCCCATGGCAGTTCAGTGTCCAAGTGGGTTACATAGTAATGGGAAGAGGGACTGCCTCTGACATAATCTGATTGGCCTGCTCTTTCATCACCTCCCCCTGAAGGGGGAGCAGCCTTACCAGGCCAAGGTAGAGGACAATGCAGCCAATTTTGATGAGAACTGATAGACTAAGATCAGAAAGGAGAGGAGAACCTCCCCTATCAGTGGACTTGGGGAGTGGCATGCATGCAGAAAGGGGAGGGAGGGTGGGATCAGGAGGGGAGGAGGGAGGGGCTTATGGGGGGATACAAAATGAATAAAGTGTAATTAATAAAAAATTTAAAAAAAGATACAATGAACAGAAAAGATTTTTATATATTTTTACATAATTTTTACATGTATCTGATTGTAGTCAGCTTTTTAGTAGCCTCTTTTAACTTTGAAAATAAAAAAAAAATCTCTAAAAAAAAATTGGTGTCTACTTTACAAGTTTAGTTTAATGACATCTAACGGATTCACTTGTGGATCTTAAGATCGAAAACAGGGAGTGTGCTGGCACGCACACAGCTTTACTTTCAGCAGAGGCAGAAGAATCTATATCACTTTAAGGCCAGACTGCACTACACTGCAAGTTCAGTGAGAGTTAAGCAGTAAATGCTTCTCTTAAAAATAAGAAAAGTTTCTTCTAATTCCAACCATCTTCTTGTTTTTAAAAGATGAGTAGTATTCCATTGTGTAGATGTACCACAATTTCTGTATCCCTTCCTCCATTGAGGGACATCTAGGTTGTTTCCCGATTCTGGCTATTATGAATAAAGCTGCTATAAACATAGTTGAGCAAATGTTCTTATTGAATGGTGGGACATCTTTTGGGTATATGTCCAGGAGTGGTATAGGTGCATCTTGAGGTTGTGCTATTCCCAATTTTCTGAAAAAATGCCAAACTGATTTCCAAAGTGGTTGTACAAGTTTGCACTCCCACTAGCAATGGAGGAGGGTTCCCCTTTCTCCACATTCTCTCCAGCATGTGTTGTCACTTGAGTTTTTTTATCTTATCCACTCTGATAGGTCTAAGATGGAATCTCAGAGTTGTGATCTGCATTTCTCTAGTGAGGTAACCCAGAAACAGAAAGACAGGCCTGATATACACTCACTAATAAGTGGATGTTAGTTATATAATATAGGACAGCCTTCTACAGAGCTAAAGAAGCTCAACACCAAGGACGACCCTATGGAGGAGGCTTACATCTCATTCAGAATGGCAAAGAGGATAGACACCAGAAGCAGTGGAAGAGGGAAAACAGGATGGGAGTCTATTATATAGGGTCCTCTGAAAGACTGCATCCAGCAAGGGATGAAAGCAGATGCTGAGAGTCAGGGCTAAACTTGGGGCAAAGTGCAGGGAGTCTTATGGAGGAAGAAAGCGATGGGATTAGAGGGACATCGAGAGGATAGGAGCCCTACAAGGAGACCAACAAAACTAAAAGATCTGAGCCCAGGGGGTCCTGCAGAGTCTGATGCACCAACAGAGGACCATGCATGGAGAGGACCTAGATGCCTTCTCAGATGTGGCTGATTGGCAGCTCAGTCTCCATGTGGATCTCTGAGTGAGGGGATCAGGGCCTGCCTCTATCATGAACTCAGTTGACTGCTCTCTGATCACTCGCCCCTGATGATGCAGCCTTGCCAATCCACAGAGGAAGAGGATCCAGGCAGTCCTGATGAGACTTAAGGAGCTATAGGCAGATGGCAATAGTGGAGAACTTCCCCTTTCAATGGATTAGGGGAAGGGGATGAGGGGAAGATGAAGGGATGGTGGGTCTCAGGGAGTTGAGAGAAGGTGTCAACTGGGATATATAATGAATAAATTGTGAAATAAAATTAAAAAAAATTATAAAGTCCCTAGCCCTTTCCCACCCTGAGAGTTTATAGACCCTAGGTATGGAGAGCAGCTGAGGAATTAAACTTAGACTGGGTAGAGAAGTTTTGCAGCTGTGCAGGACTGGCATGAGATCATTGGAGGAAGAGTGTTTTAAAGTCTTAGGATGAGAGGAGACAGACATTAGAATACAGGATCTCTGAGAAACAGATTCCTTATGACCAATATGCTCTCAGCTCAAGAGATTTCACCAAAGTACAAGAGTGAAATTCAAGTAGACCAAGATATACTTCCAGCCACCACAGAGAGCATAGCATCTTGGATAAAGAGAAACTGAATTGTGAAAAACATTTAATGAATTAGAAAACGTAATTAAGCAGTATTTGTGACAAGACAGAGTTATATGAACTAAAAGTGAAGTAGAGAGGTGGTCTTTAAATGGAGGCACACAGTAAAGAAAATGTAAAGCAGTGGTTCTCAACCAACCTAATGCTGCGACCCTTTAAGACAGTTTCTCAATTTTATGGTGACAGCCCCACCATAAGATTGTTTTCATTGCTACTTCATAACTGTGATTTTGCCATTGTGAATTGGAATATAAATATCTGTGTTTTATGATGGTCTTAGTTGACCCCTGTGAAAGGTCGTTCAACCCTCAAAGGGGTTGTGACCTATGGGTTGAGAACTACTAAAGCAATGGGAAAAGGTGGAGGACACACAGGTCAAATGCAACGAGGTTGACACATGATGAAATAGCTAGGAACTTGCAAAGCTCCCTTTCTGAATGAAGTTGAGAGGTGTATCTACAGAGAAGGAATTAAAACGTCCTCGTTATGGTGTTATTAAAGGTAAAAAAAAAAATGCAAAGCAATAAGAACCTATTTATTTACAATGGTCATGAGCTTACTTGCTTGGAAAAATATAGTATAAGCAAAAATTCAGTTCAGTTTTCATATTTGTATGAATTCCCCTTGAAAATGGAGAGGATTAAGCAGGGTTTCAGTGTACTTGGTGAGTAAGACAAAATAAGAGAAAAGGAAACATGCTAACACTGAGCTATTTCTCCAGAAACATGGCTGCAAAGCACAAGGTGCTGAGAAATAAAGTGGGGGAGTGCTCAGCTCTAAGCACACCATTTATGCCATCTCTATGAGGCTGAGAGCACACTGTGGAACAGGGAGCACAAAGAACTTAAGAGTCAGAAAGCACTAGAACAGCTGTGAGATATCTTCTTGGTAAGACATAGCTTTTCCAATCAGAAACTACAGCAGTTGTGGATGACTGCACTGGTTTAAACAAAAATGGGCTTTTTAACAACCACACATGAGGAACAAGGACACAGTGAGCCCTACCCCTCACTGTGGAACTATTGACTACTGACACATTAAGAGAAAATAAAATATTGTGATCCCAACAACACATTCCAATGTGTATTTCCCAATCCATTTGTAACACAGATAACTCTGGTTAAACTAAATATTTCTGTCTTTTTCTCTCTCTGTCTGTCTCTGTCTCTTTCACATATACAAAGTCACGAATCTGGAAAAGTAATTGGTAGTGGGCAGTGAAACAGGGATTGAAGAGAGATAAGAGTAAATGAAGACAGTACTCAAAATACATTATATACATTTCTAAAAGTTAAATAACAAAATTAGCTGATAAAGAGGAGAGAACTGGATAATAAGAAATTAGTGATAATAATGGTGAGCCATGGAAACCAAGATAGCTAAGCTAAGGTGAGAGACAGACATAAGTGATTTGAGATTAAAACAAGTTGAGTAGATCCATTGAAACAAGTACTAGTGAAGTTGAAAACTTGGTGGATTCAAAGTTCCAGAGTAACTGAGCTACAAAGTTGGAGGCCATAAATGGAGATGCTTGAAATGGAGAATGATAATAAGAACAGGATATGACCACTGGGTAAATGGAACAACGAGTACACAGCACACATTAGGTAGAGGAAGTAAGAGGCTGTTATTTTGGCAGGAGTAGAAGGAAGATCAAAATGGTTAATCAGATCCTAAAATAGTCACAAAGAGAAGAGTTCACTGCAGTCACAATATATACTGAGCAATATTTTCTTGTGCATAATTTCAAAGAAAGAGGGAAGGACAAAAACCAAAATACACTAAAAAGGAATCAGCATAGAGGGCCAGTGGTATAACTGTTTTCAAGAATGTGAACTCCTCAGGTGGACTGTGATGGACTTAGTAGCCTCAGGGAAGGAATCAGAGCTGAGTAAGAACAGGAAGGTTTATGTATGTTCATAAAAGAATATGCTAATTTTTGACACAAAATGTATGAACACAGGCACTGAGAATAAAATGAAAAAAAAAAACATGTGAACAAACAACAACAAAAGCCAAAAAGTCTTAGCACTTACAAACCTGCAATGCAAGCAAGAAAGGTAATATAAAAGTGGCTAATGAATGAAAGTGTATTTTACAGCAAGTTAACATTTTGTAAGACATTTTGTTTTACTAAGAAATGATTCATTAAATTTTATTTTTAACGAGGATGCATATTCATAAAAGTGGTGCAGAAATCCAAGTACTTTTATATATTGAAATATCATGGTGACGACTATATACTGCAAACTAGTGTGAATCGGAGATCAAATAACAAAGTATAAGGAGTGTGTGTGAGGAAATGTAACGAGGAAATGCATTTCTTTACATGACAGCAAATCATTCTCAAAGGGAAATAAAGAAATCTGAGCAAAATTCACTGTTTTGGGGTTTTAAATCAGAGAAGAAAACAAATGAGCACCTGTCTGCTCTTCTGGGAACAAGCAGTTACCTGAGCTAACGCGGCATCCCGCTCTTCTATCACTGCAGTCATTTCTTCTGCAGTTATTCTCTTTTTACAGTCCTTGGTCTTGTAGATTCTATCCACAATTACAGCTCCATTCTTCTGAATAGCTATCCCAGTGTCTGCATTGTTTATTCTGTTCAGTAATTCCTGTAATGTCTACCAACACCATTATATGTTAGTCAGACATGAGGTTTTAATATATTTTATTTAATATAGGGTTTTAATTAATAGGCACATGTGAATTGTAAATTGACTGAGTGAAGTTATTGAATTTTCATATTGCAGCAAAGATGTACATTATTAGTGTGTCAATTCTTCTTTTCCCCACATCTTAGTTCTTGAAACCCACTCAATTGAACTTAAGCCTCTAAGATATAAGACTGACATCAAGAAATCTCCTCAGAGAATGGCTTACCATGTCATTTTCTTCAGGGTTAATATTTTCTAGCCTAGAAAAAAGGGACACAGAAAGCCTGATCAGTAGCATTTCTTTAGTGAGGCAAAATGAGTTCGCTTTTTAAATCTTTAGAACCTCAAGTAATTTCATTCGACTAGTCTTTAGAGTCAACCATGACACTGAACATATTAAAGTGGCACCTGCTCGACTCCATCTTTCAATAACGCTCTCTAGCTTCTGCTCTGACTTCAGACTGTTAAGTTATTAATGTTTACTGCTATATATGACTACAAGGATCAATTGTTCATATGTGTTTAGATGAAGAAAGTTCCCTAGTGATAGAAGCAGTCTTTCTCATCATATTTATTCCTGTTCTTTCAATTTCTATCAGAAACTATTTTCTTTCTTTTCTTGGATACTGTCAGTTGTAAAAACAAAGCAAGCATTTTTGTTACAAAGTTTAACTATACTCCCTCAAAAGCAATGACAAATAATTACACTAAATTAAATCTGAAAGTGTATTGCTGCATCTGTTATACAAACATACCAAATATACAGACTAAGCAAAATTGGACCATATTTTAGATGACTGTTTTTTTCATGTTTATAATTTGTGGAATCATCCAATTGAAAGAGAAAGACAAATTTTCTCTCCATAAATGCATTTTCTGATAAGAATTGTTTACTGAAATGCTTGTTATTTGGAAGAATTGAATAAATGCACTAATGGTAAAGACATTCTAAGTGATATATTATAGGAATCATAATTTAGGCAACGATTAATTCAAGTAAATTAAAAGTTAAACTGTGATGAATATTAGTAAATGACAGAGATTTATAAATAATTGTGATTATTTTTAAACTGTACTAAAAAGTTTACAGATTAATCTCCTTTCTTCTGAGACCCTACCCATAGTTGTTCTTCTGGGATCTAATATTTAGCACAAAAAGGATAAAAGTAGAAAATAATAAAGACAATTGGTAACTATGCTACAGATTGTTCTAAATGTCACAACTAGGTAAAACAATAAAACAACTAAAATAACGGGAAAAGTAGCTATTTTTAAACACAGAAATTTAACAGAAAATCCTGAGTGGAAAAATCTGTTTGTATACCCTGGCACACGAGGAGTCAATAGGAAGACCTAGTGACCCTAATTATACACAAAGAGCAGCTCTCAAGCATCTATTAGCTGCTTCAAGTCACATCTCCAGAAGAACAAATATTCTTGTCTTTTACAGACTAAATAAATAACATTTTCAAATGTACTGTTTAATGAAAGCATGTTTGACAAAAATTTGAAAGTAACCAAATGTTTTGTACCATTTCAAAAGCATAGGAGAAAACTGCAATAGAATTTTTGTACTTATAGCCACAGTGAAAATACTTAAACCTTGGTAACATTTACTAGTTAGCTAAAAAAGTTTCAAATGGAATCATGTGCTACAAAATAGCTCAGTTGTTAAACTGTTCCAGGTGAAATCAGACTGAGAGCTCCTCACTGCAGTTTCCAAAATAAAATCAGTTTATTTAAAATTTTCATAACTACTAAGCATAAAATTAAAATGTGAATGGCTAGACGATATACATTTAAATTGGCAGACTTTTGGTAATGTTTAAAAGAGTTTGATAACTATGGCAATAAGCTTATATTTTGGCTTCAAAAATAGTATGAATCCAGATGAAAATAATAATATAGGTATGCCACCCAATTTATATATCTGATATAATTAACAGAACACAAAGAACTTGGGATTTCTACATGTTTACAGCTGTTTGGGGGTGTTGCAATATGATATATTGTTACTTTACGAAGAGGGAAATAAAGAATGTTTTAAATTAAAAACTCATCACATTTTAGAAACATTTGAGTTAACCAAATTTAGTATTAAAATCCATAGCTAGTAATGAACCATTTTTAAGTTAAAACTGATTCATATCAAAAGCTAAATAATTATCAAGTATGTGAACTTATCTCTCAGACATTAAAGAAATTGTGTGACCAGTCTTAATATGTAATGATTTTTAATTTGCTAGTAAATAAACTTGATCTGTATTTAGTGAATCTTGTGTGTTAGTTCTAACAAGCTGAGAAGAGGTGAACAAAGCTACTGAGCTTTGTTTTTCGTTCTCAACTGTGTTTTATTATTATTGTTGTTATTAACTATAATTAATCTGAGTATGTTGATATTGAAAATTTTGTATATGTTCACGGAAATGTAATATAAACTTGGAAAAAGAAAAGGCTGCTTTTTCTCTTTTGCATAGTAAGTCTTGCAGCGAATGTGTTTTTCACAGACATCAAATGGTAATAACATCAATTAAACTAAATAAAACAGGAATTAGTAAAAATTTTTTGTTAGGAGGCAGATACTAAATATTTTCGGATTAGTTTATCTTCTTGGTCTTACCTCCTAAATCTTGCCTTTGTAGTATTAAAACATATAAAGACAACAGGCAAGTATAATGGTTGTGCCTGGATTGCAATGGTACTTTATTTGCAGATATAGTGACAGATTGGATGTATAAAATAATTACACTCTCTTCCTGACATTGAGTATTGAAAAGTGAGATATTTTCATTGTTAATGCATTATAAGATGCAAGTCAATATATTTGACATAATATTCTGAACTAGATCATTCAATATCTGGCTAAAGATGAAGTAAGAAATCAAAATTATTTTCAGAAAATCAAACTGAAGCCTTCAACAAATAAACTATGTACTGTATCACTTACTGTCACACCAAAATTAGATATCCTATCTTTTCAAAAGATGTATTTTAAAACTACATAAAATATATAAGGCCCTCAGTTTTATATAAAAATAATTTTAGGTTAATAAAGTTTACTAGAAGTATGTATAAACAATTTCTGGTTTAGTTAAAGATTTCCAGTAATGGATATTATATAAAATATAGCCAATAGACAATACATTATACCTCAATAATATAGGGCTTACAACTATAAAAAAAGAATCTTAACCACTTGTAAACTCAGAGTAATGCCTACTACAGTCTAACTTAACATAGTTATGATAATTAGTTAAGAATTTTGCTGAAGTAAATGTTCATGGGCTCAGGTTTCAATTGATTTCCTATACCATGCAAATTCTGACTGACAACTTTGCAATCTAAGTGAAAAACACATGCATGAAATGTCACATTTCTAAAGTTATCCCTTGATACATCAATATTACGTCTTTTTTTTCTTTTCTGAAAGTTAGGACAATAGTAAGAAGCAAAACAATGACCTCAAATGATAGAGTTTGTGATCCAAAAACTACAAATAAAAACATTTGAGCCTAATAAAATATTCCGCAGATATAAACAAATTTACTTTAAAATATATTTATGTAGGGAAAAGCACTAGAATAATTACACGATTCTGTAATAAAAGATAAGAGCTGAAGGGGTGATATGATTTTAAGACAAAAAAGATTCAGACATAAAAACTATATAACACTGGCAAAAAAGATATACACATAAATGGGACAACACAATCAAGTCTACACAAACCCACATGCATATGACAAAACCGCTTGACAAAAGTACAAGTAAAAACAAAACAAAACAAACAAACAAACAAAACACCACCAACAACAAAAATCCGGGTACAACAACGGGCTTCACAATCAATGGTAATGGAATGAGTACCAGCATATAGAAAGACAGTAATAACAAGAAGGAACACACCCTAAAATGGACTACATATTGTCATGAACTGAAACTGAACTGAACAGTTTGAAACTGAACTGTTTTCCATAAGCCTCATTGTAGTGAGAATTTTCTGTTTCTTTAAAAAACACAGAAATGTTATGGGAATGTGTTTTTGTTTTAATCCAGGTGTGGGATAGGAGGCTGCTACAGATTGTCCACAGCAGCTGACTGCGATTTGCTCTGCAGGGGCATGATTTTGCCAGCTGCAGATAGTTTCTGCAAGTCTATGCCATTTGGAATTCTGGGAGCTCCTAAAAGGGTATATAATTTGTGAGCTCCCAGAGGAGATGTGATGGCTGCTGTTCCTCCTCCTGCTGCTGCTGGTGGTTGTGGTTTGTCAAGTGGTCAAAGGCAGAGAGAAAGAGGAAGTTGAATATCCTGTCAGCGAAGATCAACCCTACCACAAGGAACTTGATGCCCCTAATCAGTGGGAAGTATTCTAATGATATTGACATCCCTTTTTTCCTCTAACCTTTTTCTCCTACATAGCATTGGAGGGTGGGGTGGGGGCTGGAAGGGTGGAATAAGGGTAGAGAAGGGTGGTATATAAAAGAAATCAATGAAGTAGCCAAAAAGTCTGACTGGTATTTTGAGTGTTGATTCCTCCCAGATGGATTTGCAGCAGCTGTGGAACCTGTAGGTAGAGCCTTACTCAGGTAAGGCACTAGGAACAGAACTCCAAAGGCTATGTTCAAGACCCTGTTCCTTGAACTTTTTGAGGCCTAATCTGCAGCAAAGTGACTGGCACTGTTAAATGCTCCTATGTTAAAGGTAGAGTTAGCCACTCTTTATCATCAAAGTACTGAAACCTAGTGAACCGTGAGCCAAAATAAACTCTTGAATTCTTAAGTTGATTCTATCAAGCATGGTAGCCACTGAGACACAAGTCACTAATAGAGAACTTTAGTGCAAAGAAGTGGGTTTGTCACTATGATAAACTTAACTTGAGTAGTTTTTGGAACTACTTTCTGGGAGCATTATGCAAGAGTCTGAAGATATAAACTGCAGTGACTCAACAATGCCATTTAGTATTTAATGGGTGATTCTGGTAGGAATATAAAGATTATATAACTAAGAGAAATGCGTGCAGTGAAAGCTAAGCTTGTGAAATTTCAGGCTAGGACAGGATTCTACTGATATTTGAACTATCAGCCATTTGTGTTACCACTGGATAGAGAATTTATGCCTGAGCAGATTCTGAAAATCTGAGCCAGGATAATTATTTGGTGGAGAAAATATCAAGATGGCATAATACCCAGGCAATAGCATAGTCATTGCTGTCTACTTTTAGCTGGGTTTACTGCAAGAATCATGAACAAAAGGCAGAAGAATTGAAAAACACAATTTGGCTAGAAAGAGAATGCACATAGGGCAGGGGTGGGGAATGGTGGGGTAAAAGGTACCAAAAAGCACATGAGACAAAGTAGCTAAAGTTGTTGAACAGATTAGCACCATTAGAAATGTTGTGGACTTTCCACTGAAATAATAGGAAAGGTACTTCATAAAAAGATCAGTATCCAGAATGAGAGCCTCAGGGGTACCCTGCTTAGACTGAGCCTCCTAGAAAACTTGGGTCTCCTTATAAAACCTTGACTTTCACTATACAGATCAGGCTGTCCTCAAATTCACAGATATCCACCTGAGACTCCAGGATTAAAGACATGCGCCACCATGCCTGGGTCTAGATAACTTTTGTTGGAGTTCAGCCACCCCATCAATCAGGGGGCTAAGTGGGCTAGCAATAGAACTGGTGTCCTCCACATGATACTGGTTTTACAAAAATTCAAAATGAGTTCTGAGATTCTTGAGTATTGTGGAGCTATTTCTTCAGAACTGAAACATTCCTTCCTTAAGGGAGGCAGAGAAAACTTGGGAAGTCAATGAGACTTACCGGATTCATAGATCCTCTCCTTTAAACTTTAGAAACAGTACTGACTATTAGAGAAAGGAGATTCTCAGAGAAGCTAGGTACAAGCAAGATGTACAGAGAGCTCTAGGAGTGTAACTTTCTTTTTTGGATTTATCTTTTTTATTATTTTTATATTAATTACAGTTTATTCACTTTGTATCCCACATGTAGCCTGCTCCCTCATTCCCTCCTAATCCCACCCTCCCTCTTTCCTTTATCTCCTCCCATGCCCCAATCCAAGTCCACTGATAGGGGAGGTCCTCCTACCCTTCCATCTGACCCTAGCCTATCAGGTCTCATCAGTACTGGCTGCACCCTGCATAATCTTCCTCTGTGTCCTGGCAAGGCTGCTCCCCCTCAGGGGAAAGTGATCAAAGAGGCAGCCACTGAGTTCATGTCAGAGACAGTCCCTGTTCCTATTACTAGGGAATGCACTTGGATAATGAGCTGCCATTGGGTACATCTGAGCAGGAGTTCTAGATTATATCCATGAATGGTCCTTGGTTGGAGTATCAGTCTCAGAAAAGATCCCTGTGCCCAGATATTTTGGTTCAGTTGGTCTCCTTGTAGAGTTCCTGTCCTCTGCAGGTCTTAATATTTCCCACTTCTTTCATAAGATTCCCTGTACTCTGCTCAAAGTTTGGCTAAGACTCTGAGCACTTGCTTTGATACATGTGTAACTTTCAAAAGTCATTATCCATGCTGGGGCAGGCTTGTTAGTTATGTAGCTGTCTTTGAGTCACCATGGTTTTTTATGCTTATATTCACAACTAACACCAAGAAACTGATAGGTTCACTAAGCAGATGGATGGAACAGTTTCTTTGATTTGTAGCCAGGGCCCTACCAGGGGTGAATGGACATTTATGCACATTTCCTAGGAAAAGTTATGTAACCTAGAGGCTTGGATCAAGATTTCTGAGAAACCTTAAGAAGCTATGACATGTACCTGCTTTCCATCTTTGCAATAAGGTTCAAGGAGTTCAAATGAAAACCTATGTAGGTAAAGACCATTACTGTATGAACCCAGAATGCTGGGAGATTCCAAGAACATCAGATATCTGCAAAAGAAAGCTGCAGGCACTGAATGGGGACAGCCCATCAGAGGCATGTGTGTTGCTAGCTGCAGGACTATTGTGATGGTTAATACTGAGTGTGGACCTAACAGGATCTAGCACCACCTGAAAGATCTAGTGTCATCTGGAAGACTAACCTCTGTGAATGCTATAAGGCACTTTCAAGACAGGCATAAGTGAGGTGGTATGACCCAGCCTAAATGTACCCTGTTCCTGAGCATGAGGTCTCTGGCTGAATAAAAAGGAAAAGGTGAGGTAAACATCAGCATTTATCTTTTTTTATATGCAAACTGCCGATATCATGTGACCAGCTGTATTCTGCTCTTACTTTCTCTAAGATAATAGACTATATCCTATCAAACTATAAGAGCAAATAAAGTCTTCCATCTTCAAGTTATTTTGTCAGGCATTTCCTTCACAGCAATTAGTAAAGTAGCTAAAATAAGCATAAAGATAGGATAAAATGAAGCCCATTGGAATTCATACCATGAGACCATATGACCATATGAACTCTGAGCTTCAAAATTTAATGTTTGCCCAGCAAGGTATAAGTCTTACTTTTTCCAGTCTACTCCTGCCATTCCTCTGATCCTCCCTTTTGAAATGAGAATATTTATCCTCTGTGAACTGTAATTCTGTAATTAGTAACAACTTATATTATGTAGGCCCTAGTTTATATATGTGAGGAATCAGTAACTGAATTTCAGAGACCCTGTGTAATTTGATCATTCCACAGGTAAACATCTGGGAAGCAACAAACCTAAGCTTCGAGGACACATCACTGGATCCCGAACCACTGCTCTTACTACACTTCCTCTCAAATAAAGCTGTATGTAGCACATAATATAACTTCTATAAATTAATTTTATAGATAAACCAATATACCACAAAGTACCTATACTTGTAGATAATTGGGTTTATAATTTAAACAGATAAACAAGGAGATAACATTTGGAATAACATTTTCTTATTTGTTAAAACTGTGATTGAGTATAAAAAAAGCTGCTAATCATTATTAGTAAATAGAGAAAAGAAATGAAGCCCTCAATGAGATAAAATAATCCAAAATGAAAAAAAAAAACTGCAAGTGAGAATGCAGAAAAATGTGAGCTTATATATTATTGGTAGGAACATAATTCAAAACATCAATTATAGAGGACGGTAGTGAAGAATCTAAAAAAAATTAACTACGCATGATCCAACTATTTTCAAATATATATATATATTTTTTTTTTCAAATATATATATATATATATATACAAAAATGCAATCAATATACCAAAGATAACTACATTCCCTTGCCTATTGTGGAATAATTAATTCACAATAGCCAAGATATATAATACCTGATGTATTTACTTGCAGCTAAAAAGATAAAGAATATCATTCAGGCTGTTACTCAGTTTTCTGACACGCTGACTAAATACTTCAGACAAGACAATCAATTGATAAGAGGCTAAGGTTTATTTTAGCCATAATATCAGAGATTTCAGGTAAAGGTCATATAGCTCTGTTGCTTTCAGGTTCCAGTGAGGTAGTCCTCGACAGCAATGAGCATGTGTAGGTGAAAACTGCTGACCCTGTGGTAACAAAGCATAGACAGCCTCCAGGTGGGTTCACTAGTAAGGGGAAAAAGGGGCTGTCTCTGACATGAACTCAGTGGCTGGCTCTTTCATCACCTCCCTCCTGAGGGTGGGGCAGCCTTACCAGGCCACAGAGGAAGGCAATGCAGCCAAGTCCTGAAGAGACCCCATGAGACCTGATAGGGTAGGATCAGATGGAAAGGGAGGAGGACCTTCCCTATCTGTGGACTGGGAGAGGGGCATGAGAGGGGGTAGGGAGGGAAGCTGGGACTAGGAGGAGACAAGGGGGGCTACTGATGGGATAACCACCACATACAAATATATCCTTTACAACGTTCCTGATACCACACAGAATTTTAAAGGTATACCCACAGTTTTAATGACATTTCCATGTGCTTCATACGTTCAACTGCTTCATCTCTCTCCTCAAGGGCTAACTGCAGTCTGCACATAACAGCTTCATCACGTTCTCGCTGTGCAAAATACACTTCTTCAACCAAAGCTACAAAACAAGAGAACTCAAAATCAATTAAGAAATAGAGGAGAAATAAATAAATATTGACTGTGGTATCCTCTATCACAATAAAAACTCAGAAATCAACCAAATGTCCATCAAAACCAACAGAAAAGGACACATTCAGAAAGAAATGCCACCTGCATTTGACATGAATTAACTATGGAGATGCAGACAAACAGAAACCCAATAGCAAGTTACGAACTGGAGCAACTCCACCATGCACAACAGGACAGCCGAACAATCACTGAGAGGGGACTGAGCAGTGCACATTTGCACAGAACAGGAAGCATCTCTGATGCAGACTACCTATAAATGACATTCTTCATTGAGAACTGTGATGTTACCTGAAATTGACTTTTCCTAAGTATAATTTTGATACCTTGCAAGTATCTTTAAATAATACAAAATATTAAGCAACCTGATCTTAGAGACCTACAGAGCTGTCATAAATTTTATTTAAACAGACAAACCATAAACTTAAAAATATGTAAAATATTCTTTAATTTATAAAGTAGTAGGTTCATGCCATGTTATATATTGGTAAAGAAAAATACTGAGAATAACCTACAAGCATCACTTTATTAAACCAGCATTAACTGCATTTCAAACATCTGTACTTACACCCACAGATCATTGTACTCCTCATCCCTCATCAAAAACTTTTCTGCTCCAAACAAGAGACCAACATAGAAAATGACAACCAATCAAAACGAAAAGTTGTGGATCCCAGTCTCAACAGTTAAAACTACAGAACAAGTCCTACATCTAAGGCTGAGGGAACACTGTGAAGGAGGGACATAAAGACCATGAAAGTCAGAAGAACAGGAAATTTGCTCTGAGATTGTACTCCTGGTATTACCAAAAGCTACCCCCACCCAAATCTCACCAGCACAGCTGCCTAACCATGTCCTCCATTAATGAAGTTGAAATAAAAAGACATTCTCATTTAAAGGGATGAACCCACAAACAGTAAATGCAACTAAATGGAAGTGAGAGAAAATTTTCAAACAGACAGTAAAATAGTAAAAAGAAAGCACACACACACACAAAAAGACAGAAAACTCCTGTCCTGTTCCTTGTCTTCTCCTACTTCCGATGTCTATCCTGTTTGTCCTTCTGAGTGAGATTTCAGCCTCTTCCCTAGGGTCCTCTTTGTTGTTTAGCTTCTTTAGGACTATAGATTTTAGTATATTTGTCCTATAGTATATGGCTAATATCTACGTATAAGTGAGTATATAGCATATGTGTCTTTCTGTTTCTGGATTGCCTCACTCAGGATGAACTTTTCTAGTTCCCACCATTTGCCTGCAAATTTTATGATTTCTTTGTTTTTAATTGCTGAGTAGTAGTCCATTGTGTTACTATCTGTAATAGGACAGGAGCCTTCCACAGAGGGCCTCTGAAAGCCTCTACCCACCAGGGTATCAAAGGAGATACTGAGACTCATAGCCAAACTTTGGGCACAATGCAGGAAACCTCATGGAAGAAGAGGGAGGTAGAAAGACATGGAGAGAACAGGAACTCCACAAGGAAACCAAAAGACCCCAAAAAACCTGAGCCCATGGGGGTCCTGCAGAGACTGATATTCCAACCAAGGACCATGCATGGAGAGCACCTAGATCCAGTGTAAGTTCCCTAATAAGAGGGCCTGTCTCTGACATGAACTCTGAAGCTGGCTCTTTAATCACCAACCCCTGGGGGGTGCAGCTTTGCCAGGCCACAAAGGAAGACGATGCAGCCATGCTTGATGAGACCTGATAGGCAGGGTCAGATAGAAGGGGAGAAGGACCTCCCCTATCAGGGGACTAGGGAAAGCAAATGGAGGAGAAGAGGAAAGGTAAGATTAGGAAAGGAGCTACAGCAAGGATACAAAGTGAATAAACTGTAATTAATTAATTAATAATTAAAATAACAGAAAAACAACAAAATGGTAAATATCAGTGACTATAATAAAATATCCAATCACCAAAATGTTCTCAGTATAGTGAATGGGTGTGATACTATGTCAAAAGACCAATGATCAAGATCGCTTCAAACTAGGTTATGACACAGGGCTGGAAAGTTAAATACACTCTTGGAAGTACAGCTGTAAAGATATATTGCTGGGCTTGCCAGCTAAAAGCAAATCACTTCTGGTGGTCTTTATAAACAGGTACCTGTTGCTGTATATCATCTACAACTAGATGTGCTAACTTGTTCAAGTAAGGAGACAACATCTGGATTCACTGCTTGACTGACTTTTCAATAGAAAACTTCATTCAGCACAATCTGTTTTCTGCACAGTCTAGATTAAAGAGTTAAAGGAAGGTGTGGCAGGAAGTACCTCCCATTCCTCCAGAGACTCAAAAATAGTTTTGGTTCACTATTTCCCATGGGCGTACCTTCAGGCTTTTCAACCATAAAGCCTCCACTCTTCAGGTCAGGGAGCCAATTTGGGAATTCTGCCAACTTCTAAGTATATCTATCCCAATTACATATTCTGAAACTTGGAAGGAATATCACAGAATGAGTTCAAGGACCCACTATTGTAGGTCAGACTTCAGCCGAAACTCCACTAATAACCCGACGTTCATAATCTCTTACTCTAACTGGAGGGCCCTAATGCTTCTAGAGTTCTCACAGAATTAATGTCAATTCTGACCCAGTATCCACAGACGCATAACAATATGATTGTCCCTCCCCCCCCCCCAGGGCCCAGTCACCCCTGTAAAAGGCCTTAAGTCCCTCTGGGGAAGGATGAGAGAAAAAAAATAACAGGAAAACTCTTGGGTATATTATCAAGATCCTTCCTCAGGGGTACGGGCAATCCCTTCCATCAAGGGGTTCTGGGTCTGTAAATTCTCTCAAGGCTGGAGATTAGTTCTCTCTTGCCATGATCCAATGTAGCTGTAGCGTTAGTTATTTAAGAGTTTTTCTAGTTACAGAGATCAAATAAAATGCAGTAGGCTTCTTATCTATCACATTCTTTGAAACACAATCAGTGATCAGTCAGTATCCCGCCATAAAAATCAGTTGGCCTCTGCTACCCATAATGATAACCATGAGCACCTTGTCCTTTGTAAGGCAGTGCTGCCACCTGGCACCTGCTACATGGGGACCCAGTTAGATCCACTGCATTTAATCCATCCAGCTGAGAAGCATCTGTCTATAAGCCTAAGGCAGCAGTTCTCAACCTGGATATCATGACCCCTTTTGGGGATCAAAATGATTCCTTTCACAAGGATCACCTAAGACCATCAGATATTTACATTATGATTTATAACAGTAAAAAAAATGCAATTAAAGAAGTAGCAACAAAATAATTCTATGGTTGGGGTCACCACAACATGACGAACTGTATTAAAGAGTCTCAACATTACGAAGGTTGAGAACCAGTGGCCAAACATCTCTCAAAAGGAAAAGTATAATGCCAAAGCTCTACAGATATGCTGGTGCTCCTCTCACCAATTTTTCAGGGTAGAGGGTGAGTGACAGACAAGTCTTCATTCCTGTTGTAGAAAACTACGTTTTACACAGTGTACCCACTTTAGCATTGCAATTTCCCTAACCCTTAAAAATTGCTTCCTCAACACTAAGTAAAAGAGTATCACTCAACCCCAGCTTCTTTTCAGTAGACCCTCTTTTGACAAATGATTCAGACAACAAAGCAAAGCAAACTCTGTCACCTTTTAAAAACTGTGCATAGTTCCACATTAAATCTAGTATCAGCACTCAGGGGGGCACAGCAATGAGCTCATCCTGACCCAGTTTATGATCCTTCCACAATTATTCCACACCCATTCCCACACAGATTCTCAGAATTCTGCTTGGATGATTTTGTAAACTTATGAGCTAAAAATGAATATTTGGTCCTATATGGTGGGCAAAACTAGGTTTAATTTTAAAAGATTATTTAAAATTCAAATATCTATATTCCTATTGAAGATTAACATGCACATATTTGAATGTCAAATATAAATCACTGCCAACACATACATACATGCTACATTCAAAATATCGTTATGGACTAGAGAGATGATACAGCAGTTGAGAGCATTTTCTGTTCTTTTAGAGGATCAAGGTTTGGTTCCCAGTATCCACATCAGGGGGATCAGAAGAACCTATAACTCCATTTCCAGGACATCTGATGCCCTCTTCTGGCCTCTCAGAGGCCAAGCACATATATAGTGCACAGAAATAAATATAATTCTAAAAAAATTAAATATGGTAATATGATTAATAAGAAAATTAAGATATTACTCAAAAATTAAGGTATTACTGAATGGTCATTTGAAAACACCTTTAAGTTATATGTGAATGTGGAAGTTTATAAATCACCCAATTCAGTCTACAATCCTGTACTTTCGAAGGATCAATATGCAACTCTCAAATATTTTTAGTAAAGAAAACTTAACTGTAAACACTAAGCTTTTCCAAGGTGGATGACTATTACAAAGTTCACTAGAAAATCAATATAGCATTTTAGTTGGAATTTGCTCATTAAACACCCACAGCTCTAATGCAAATTATGATGGAATGAATAAAGCAAATACGCATGCTTCTTTCTTTTTATTAAATGTAAAATCTACTGTTAATTGCATCTCGTATGTCATACAAACTTTTCTCCTTAACTATTAAATAGAAGCTTTAACAAAAGTCATTAGAGATTCTTTCTTTGGCTTGAATAAATTTCAATATTTGTTCAGTAAAGGTTCACAGCAGTTAAATTACATTAACAAATATTATTAGCTACTATGTAAGCCAACCAAGTAAAATACTTATATTGTAGGTAAAACAAATCATTGGGTGTTTACAATAATATTTGGATATCTCCATTTTTAAACATGGTTATCAAATACACTATAATTCTTACTCAAATGAGAAAGATTCAGAGAGGATCACCCTCACCCCACCACCACCAAATACTCAAATTTGTTTAGTAAGCTAATTGTTTTCTAATATGGGCAAAAGTAAATATGAAGAAGCTGAACCATACTAAGTATGAG